AGTCAGATGGTCTTGCTTGGCAGGCCTTGGCGGGCAGGGGAATAAGGAGGGAGGGATTATTTGATTATATTTGGGTCCTCAACGGACGTGAGACACGGCCGCAGCTCCACCCGCCCCCCCCCCCTCTCACACCTCCCCGTTGGACCGCCGTGCTTTCAGAAACTCGAGAAGAGCTGTCGGGGAAAGAGAAAAAAAACCGGGCGCTGAGAGTCACGCGGACGGTGTCTCGGAACTCTGCCGCGTACGTGCCGCCTGAACAGTGCCACGGCGATCGCCCCTGGCGCCACGTGTCCACAAGCTCGGCCGCAGGCCCCCCAAAAAAACGTCGAGCGGCCTGCCACAAGAACGGCTTGGGGGGGGGGGGGGGGGTGGGGTTGGGGGTGGCGGCTGTCGACGTCGCCAAAGACTGTGGAGTTCGCGCGTTTGGATTGCAGAGCTTGGGAAAGAGAGGACGGTTGGCGGCAGGGAATCTCCAAAAGCGGAGCGGTGCTAGGGAAGAAGCGACCTGCGGCGTGCGGTGGTGAAACGCAGCGCGGATTGCAGGGTGCCGGTGGGGGCAGTACAGCAAGTAGGCTGCTGCGTTATATCCGTGCGTATCTATTTCGTTACGAGGAGTTCCCGCCACTGGAATGTCGGTTTTCTTGCGTTGTTCTGGTTTCGCCCCACACTAAGCCGTGCTTAGTTGAGCAGCGGACACACTTTGACTTGAACGATGAGTCCAGAACCAGAAACCGTAGGTCGACGGCCCAAGCGTGTTCACGCTGAAGACGAACGTCGTGGTGGCGGCAGGGCGCTTGCCACTCGTCGCAGAGATCCGCGGTTCGAGCCAGGAGGCCGACCTGGTTAACACCGCGAGCGCATTACCCGTTAAATACCACGCTCCGTCGGCTTCAGAGTGGACCCTGAAGAAACCGTGACGTCATTCTGCAAATGGTAGGCCATGTGCGCCTGCAGCGTCATTGTCCAAATTTACTAAATTTGATCATTAAAAAAATCAGATTTCTAGATTGGGATTACACAGCAGCAGCAGCAGCAACATCGCCCCTTTCCCCTAACCATCTATGCTCATGACTCCCTGCCCCAGTGCCTTCCTTCCCTCTGACTCTGCCTACCCACCTCTCTCTCCCTCTCTATTAAATAAGCATGCCCACTGCTTCTGTACAGCGTTTTAATACGTAATAAGTATACTATATTACACCATAAACCACAACAAAACGTCTCAGAGTGCAGACGTTTTTATTCTATTTTTTGCCTAGGGGGATGCCCTAATGGCAGCCCGTCCCTGTGATTGTCAATAGCTTGTATCGGTTTGCTAATCCACGTTTTGAGATGCAGTTATGATCCGATGCCACAATATTTACACGTATTCTTTACTACTCACTCGCACCATTGGGCAGCGCTCATCTCCCTGCTCAGAGCCGAGTAATGAAAATCCCACATTCCTGTGGCATGGTCCAGTCTGTACATATAACAGGGCGCCACGGTGGCGAGATGTTAATTACCTCGCCTGGGATACAGGAGCTCGTGGGTTCGATCCCGACCACTGACGCCTGCTGTATATTTGCAGTTTGCATGTTCTCCCGGTGGTCGCGTGGATTTTTCTGCAGGTTCTCCAGTTTGAGAGTATTTTGCTGCTATACATGTCCACGTGATGATAAGCCACTTCGCTGAGATATCATTTGTGATAGCCAGCTGGCTTCTGAAACGGCTCAGTGGGCCTTACCTGATTTAATAAAAAAAAAGATTTCGTTGAACGGAGACCGTCAAATTTATTCCGTAAGTTGCACCAATTGCATTAACCCAAGATGAGTAATGTGGCTGAGTTTACCCTCGCCCCGGAGAGCTGGCTCTAGCACTTGGAACTTTTCAGATTGTGAGTAAAAGCGCCGTAGCCATTTGCGGCCAGCGAGTAAGGCAGGCGAAGTGTTTACCTGACTTAAGCGGCGATCGCCACTGAACCCCAATTTGCACTGAGTGGAGCAAAGTCGGATCCTCCAGATTTAGCCAACCCAGAACTCTTTATTTTTGTTGCAAAGGTGCGTTTAGCCCATAATACAACTGCTAATGTAATTCACCGCCGCTTTATTTAGCCAGATGGAAGCCCGCCGAGATTCATTATTCTCTTTTGCAAAGGAACACCTGGGTAACCATGGCAACGGCGTGGAAATTTATTTATTTATTGCAAGTTTGTTGCGAGCAATTTCAACATTTGCATGCTGGGGTTTTATTGTGCCTGTAATATATGGAATAGATATTCCCCACATGCCAGATTTGTATCAATTTAAGCAAACACATGTCCGCAGAATATCCTGTACTTTTGTGGCTTTATCTATAATTTCATTTTCCACTGAGGTCTTCCTATCTATCTGCCTACCCGCCTACCCATCCACCTATCTACCTTCTTTTTAACCTATCAGTTAACCAGCCTACCCATTACTGACATCATCATCAGCCATGATCAATCCTCTGTTGGATGAAGGCCTCCTCTCGCACGATCCTGCGATGTAACGATCCACCCAGTACTTGCGCATGGGATGATTCCGTCGCTCCATCTCCTCGGTAGACGTGACACCTCGGACGCCTTCCGTTCCTCGGCTGCCACTCCGTTATTTATTCTCGACAATCGGGCATCGTCGTCCGTCTTCTAGCCGTGACGCGTCGTCCCGCCCAAGCCCTGCTCACTCTTCTCAACATTTTGAAAGGTGTCATTGCCACGCGTGCGTTCTCAAGTCTCTTCTCAGCTTCTCAGTGTAATTCCAAGCGTGCGTATCTCTCTGCGCTTCTTCATGCGATCAGACGTAACCCGTTTGCCAGCCCACATTTGCTCGTTGGTTCAACAACCCGACGACCCACCTGGATATAATCTACCGCTGTAGCTGACTTGTCTACCTTTGGTTGTCCACCCCCCCCCCCCCGCACATCCGATTAGCACGATTGGCTACGTGCGGTGCGAAATAAGTTCAACATGCATACTGTACATACCTTCCTATCCACTAGTCGACCCAGCAACAAAACATAGCTCGTCTCTCTATCGAAAATATAAAAATGTATCCACTTCCCTACTTGCCAACCTAGCTAGCTACCTCACTACTCCCTAGCTACCTGCACAAGTATCTGAAATTATTATTATTATTCCACCCCGTCCTCCCCCGCGTCATCGAAAGGTGGCGTCAACATTCTGCGCCCTCCCAAACACCTCCTTCGCAGATTCACGAGGCAAAATAAGACTTGGATTTTGGTGAACCCCCTCTCTCCTCCCCTCTCCCTCCCCCACCACCCCCACCACGTGGCCGCACACGCCCAAGGGCCCTGGGCCGACTCTGAACGGTCCCCCCCCGTCCCCCCCCCAACGTTCAGAGGTCACTTTTTTTGTTTTGTGAACGTCGATACGATTCAGCGTGTACGTGCTCTGACATCTGAATGCACCTGCATCTCAAGGACGTGCATTCGAGTTTATTAAATGCGAGTGTAATGGCAGCGAGAGGTTACAAGTCAATCTTGCTCGTTGTGAAATCGTAATGTGTAGCTATATATATATATATACTTATGTTGCATTCATGTACAATTGATTCTGATTTTCAACGTACAAAGGAGGCTCGTTCATCGCGGGAACTCATCCGGCGACTTGTTTTCCGTTTGTTGTGGCAATTCTTTATATATTTAAGATGAATGTTTTTCAAAAATGAATCTTTACTCGGGCAAATTCTAAGAACATAATACAGTCAGGTCTCAGAGCACGCGGCGGGGCTTAGGTTCCACGTTCCCCCGCGTAAGCGTGGATTCGCCTAAGTTGGAGTTCGCCTATACGAATGTAATATATCAAATTTAAGAGTGGATATGAAATGCATACAAATGTATACTTTTATTAAAGTACAGCACTGGACGGTAAATGATTCACTCATCATCGGCAGCATCCAGGTCAGATAGAAGACTATATTATTATTATTAACGCTATATTATTATTAACACTATATTATTAACACTATATTATTAACACCATATTATTATTAACACTTAATGTTATAAAACTCTATATTATTATAACATTATTAACACTATATTATGAAATAACATATTAGTATTAACAATATATTATTAACACTATATTACGACACTATATTTTTTGGACTAATTTCTTGCACTGGGCAATAGTTACGTGTCGGGGGATTTGACCCCTCGCTTCCTGTGCCGTGTGTGTAGCGAACGTCCGAGCCACAGAGTGTGAGTGAATCGGGGTCTCTCGTGTATGAGCAGGTACTCTGAGACCTCCCTCTAATTAATAATTATAAGTTGTTCTTTGCCTATTGCAGTAAGACAGTGAAATCTGCATTCATTTGTTGGTCGAAACTAAACATGGGGTTAGTCTTTTGATTTAAAGCTTTCGTGACTGCAGGGATTCATATTTAGTGGTTCTTTCGGTAAAGTCACGTAGAAGGGAAACAATAAAATAACAAAAATGTAAAACAATAAAAATGTGAGTTTTATATTTTTCATATTATGTTTAATATTTTATGTTTTATATTTTTATTATGTTATTGTTTCCCTTCTACGTGGTGACTTTACCGAACGAACCAAGAATATGAAGTTAATCGTTTGGACTGATGTCCAGACTTTACTGTTGGTGCCCAACATAACTCTTTGAGGGCCAAATAAACCAGCTACCAATTTGCGAGGGAGTCAAAATTGGTCGATTCCATTCGTGGCCTTTCAGCGACCAATATTCGGGCGCATAAATCAATTTCTGTTTCGGTCACAAATTGATTTCAATCGCAGCTGTGCACCCTTCACCACCCAACGCAGCCAAACCAGCCACGTGTTCACGTGGTGGGTGATCGTGTCTCGGTTTGATGTTGCTTTGCAGAAAACGGGCCGGTGTGTGTGTGTGTGTCTGTGTGTTGTCGTTATTCTGATGTGGGATTGTCTGCTGGGCGGGGTGGCTATGCGTGGAGCTGCTAATTCCCCCACCCACCTCCACCCACCCTTCCTCTCTACCCCTTCAGGGCAGAGCCTGGGCTACGGCTTCGTGAATTACGTGGACCCCAAGGACGCGGAGAAGGCCATCAACACCCTCAACGGCCTCCGTCTGCAGACCAAGACCATCAAGGTGAGGGCGGCCGGGCATCCGCGCGCGTGCGCCGCTCACGGCGTGACGGCAGTAGATTGCGATGCGATGCAATTGCACGCCGCGATGTGTTTGCCGTAGCGTTGTTAATGACCGGCAGCATCCCGCCAATTGCGAATGCGTACACGGAGATTGACGACTTCATGAACTGATGACGACACCGCTTCACCACCCCAGCGTCTCTCGACGTCATCGCTCCGCTCGCCCTCCGCCTCGCCCAAGCGGCGTGACGTCAACGCCCCTCTCCTCACAACCCCGATGTAGTGGGACGTCGACCCTTCACCCAACACCTCCCCAGCGTCTCTGACGTCATCAACACCTAGTCCTCACAGCTCCCGCGTCTCTCGACGTCATCACTCCCGCCCTCCACCTCACACGTGCAGCGTGACGTCACAACCCCGATCTGGCGTGACGTTGATGACCTCCCCAGCAACTCTGACGTTATCAGCCCCCTCCCCCTCAGCCCAATCTCGCGTGACGTCATGCCGCTACGTTACAGACAGAGACACGCACGCGCGCGTTAGATATGGACACAACGTTCCAGTGCTTGTGCGCGTGCACTTAGGCATCGGCCAGTGATCTCAGTCAGCCAACCCATGGCGCCTGGGTCTGTCCCATGACGTCCTGCCAGCGGGCGTTAGACACTTCACGTGGCCTCAAGGTGCACGTAGCCTGGCACAAGCGCCGTGGTGACTGTCACCGCCACTGAGTGGCAAATGGCGGTTGTTGTTGCAGTTAGGTGCACTGTGGGGAGCGGTGGTGCAGTGGTTAGCGCACTGCGGTATGATCCCGGCGACACGAGTTCTACTCCCCTCCACGGCTAACTTCGGAGACGAGCGTCTGAACCGGTCCAGGGCCTTCCCTCGGTCGACTCGGCCTTAATTGAGTACTGTACCTGGTACAATATCAGCACAGGGGAGATAAAGGTGGCCGGGCATGGTGCTGGCCACCCGTCCTCCCATGCGTCGTTTTGTCATTCATAGGGGGTCGCTAACAGCACTAAGCCCCAACGGCCCGTGTAGACTATGTGGGGGATCTTTGTGTGTGTGTGCACTGAAAATTATAATAATGCAATGCAATTGTGCATGGCATTGTGTCGTTAATATGTGTAGCGCATGCAATAGACGTATGGACGTGTATCCACATGTGTAATGTTAGAAAGCAAGTTAAAGGTGCTGGAGAAATGTGACATTGATCTTGAGAATGATATCACTGATGATGACTGATGATGATACAGCCACAACATCATCAGTTATGCAGCTTCCCATAACTCTTCTGTAAAGCTGTTATTACAGTAACTACATTACCGTTCCATTCGACATTTATAACCACAAACGCTAAAAGTGGATTCCCACCCACAAACAAATGGTACAGCACCACGACTCCTGCACAAATAATTTCACCTAGACAGGTTGTGCTTCGGGATGTACCATCGGGCACATAGGAGGTGGTGGTGGTGGTTATTTTGATAGCTCAGCGTAAAGCACCCCTCTGGGCCGTGCCACTTGGTGATGGAATCGCCCAGGAATAGACCCCCCCCCCCCACCCTCTGTAGACTCCACCGTTATCCCGCCTGTCATGGGGACAACAATGACATCAACAACAACAATCGGAATCACCACGCCCCACCCCTCTGTAGGCATCATCCACTAAGATCAGAAAGTTGCCGAGTGAGTAGGTGAGCATGAGCGTCACCGTGACGGCACGCGCTGGGGATGAACTGTACAGCTTCACCCATTGGTGAATCTCCTTCTAAAGTCCTGCCTCTTTACGGAGGCCGCTGGCTCCGTCCACAAGCTTCCAGCAGGAGCAGCAGTCCTCCACTCTTTGCCAATTGCCATCATCACCACCACCATAATCGGATCCCATCTGCTGCTGATGATTCTTCCGCATTCCTCTCCGCTCGAGAGCCCACCACCACCTCCTTCTCCTCCATTCCCATCAGTCGATCGTTTTTTTTGCCGGCTGTCCACTGCCTCCGTCGCCTTTCCCAGAGCGTTGGCGCTCAAAGGCCACCGCGGCGTCCTGTAGGATGCCCTGTGCACGGCACACCTTCTCCCTGCTTCTCGCAGAGCCCACTCCGTGATTTCCCGTCACGTTCATCGCCACGGCCGCATCACGGAGACTTGCGATGCGATCTTCCTCGGCTCCACGGTACAAAGGAAGCGGCACCATGACTGAGTCACCGATCTTGCTGATATTAAGCCAATATAATTAAGGGGGGTGCTCATATAATTGCTCGATACACGGATCGATTTGCAATGAATCGACACGGCAAATAATCCCCAAATTACGATGAGCCTGGTAAAATCACGGTGAACCCGGTAGTTTTTATGTTTGTTTATTATGGAACGACTGAGTTGGAATCGATACGATTAGACTAATCGATACGATTAGTCTCGATTAACGATCCACAGTGACCATATATGGGGGCGGGAATATTTCTGATCGGTGATGTGTACGATTGTATCGATCTATTACATCGCACATGCACGTTCCCGTACGTGCGCGCTCACGGACAAATTCGTGACCCTCCCCATCCATGCATCTATGCAAAACCGCGACCCTCCACATCCACCCATCCATTCAAATCCGTGACTCTCCCAAACCGCCCTTCCATCCGTTGCCATTACACTGCAAGACACGGCAGCCATCGCTTTCACAATATTTCAGTGGCCTCTTTGCTCAGAGAGTAAGAGGGGGGGGGGGGGGTCTTTATTCGACATCAGTCAGAGTATCCGCAAATGGATCGCCCCGTGTTTAGGATGCAGTGTCCGGGGATTCTCAAAACTACCAATGCTTTCTAGTCGCAGCCGTTGGCACGGGTGTGCGTTATGTATCTGGCCACGAGCACACGAAGGAGGCCTTGTCGTGCCTCCTGGGTCATTGCTTGCACCTGCACGCACTTAACACGGACGACAAAGCGAGGGTTGGCAGATCACACACAGATGTTACGAAACTCATTTGCCGTGGGTGTTGGACGAGGTGCCCCTATTCCTGTCTCGCCGAGAGAAGGAAGTGCGGCAAAGTGCGGATCGATGGTCATCCGTCCCCGCTCTACGGGATAGAATGTTGGCCCCTCGAATGCGTGGGTTTTCCCAGGATGCTGCGGTGTCCTTCCCCATGTAAACTCTCATCAAGCGACTGATAACGCCTTGCTATATAGCGAGGACGGCAGAGCTTGGGCAATTGTTGGTAGCGCCAGCCCGCCACGCGGCTTGCTGCCTTCCAGCTCGTCTTTGGATGCGCATATATCGAGAGATGCAACTCGCATCAACGACTGCGCGATATACAAACTAAACATTGCTATTTTAATTGTTAGAAATAAAATGTATATCACACGCAACACGATAAACAAATTAAGCACACAAAGACACCTATAGTACGCACCTATAAACATGTGCGCATATACAGTCCCCTTGACAATCCACTGCTGGATGAGGGTCTCCCCATGCCGTTCATGTCGTGGGGGTTATTTGGCCATACTTCACCACTCTGGTCAGCGCGGGGTTTGGTTAAAAAATTGAGAGTGCAAAACTAGAGTAGAGCTGGTTTCGATTCCCTGCCAACAACGTATTATGAATATATATGCACAGTTAACGCAACAAACACATGCATTATATAAGACACACGCATGAATAGACAAAGACCTCCCATAGACATCGAGGGTAAGTGCTGCTAGCGAGCATCGATAATGCCCAGCATGACACACGAGGGGGTGATGCGCCCACAACAATGCCCATCCACTTTTTACCAAATGATAATGTTCACGCATTACACCAAGTGCTCATTTGAGGCTGAGGTGACCTAGCAGAGGTCCAAGACCGGTTGAAATACCGGATGCAAATTTATGCATTTCAGGGGCGGGAATTATACCTGGAATGATCAGAATCATAACGCAGCAAAAACAACAAAGATTTCCTATACAGCCTTAAAAGACTGTTGGGGCAAATTCTGTTCGCAAGCACCTATGAAGGTCGGCACGGCACACGATGAGGTGGGTGGCCAGCACAACGCCCGGCTGGCTTTGTCTCCCAAGTTGCGATGTTTACGCACCGCACCGGGTACTCAATTGAGGCTGAGTCGACCTAGGGGAGGCCCAGGGCCGCTTCAGATAAGTGTCACTGGTGTTGACTGTGTGCGGCAATCGAACACAGGTGGCCGGGTTCATAGCACAGCACACTAATCGTTGCAGTACCGCACCCACACACAGACACACACGGTTACACACACGGGTACACACACACACACAGAACGTAATTCACCTTTACGAGACTGCACTGCCAGAAAATAAACTTTAATAAACTGGGCTTGGACATATTTATTTTAAACGTCAAAGATCTTATCCAATGCAACACGGCCAACAGCGTTACCACCGCCGCCACCACCGCCGCCACCGCCGCCTCGCCCAATCCCGCCTGGAATATACCGCCACCTTTCCTTTTGCAGCTGAAATTCACACTCCTGCGGTCCAGTTGGCACATTTTCGACTCGCATGTTTCCACTTCTATTAGTGAGTTCTTAACAGCTCCGTTTCCTGGCAAGAAAATTGTACTTTACGCGTGGGTGGGGGGTAGGGATTAAACTCGTGTCTCGCCTACATTCTGAAGTAAAAGCACTCTTCTACCTGATCATCAGCAGCCAGTCTCGACCCACTGCTGTTGTGTATCGACTGCACCAACGCCGACTCCGCCGCGCGTTCCGGTCACGGTCTGTGATGTGTCGTGGCCGTCGTCAATGTCAGCCTCGCTCTATCCGCTGCAAGGTGAAGAGCTTCCACCGTACGCTTCACACCGATACCAAATCATTCCTCGGGCCATGGCAAGACGTCGCTTTCCCCTCCTTCTTCGCCGTTCTCATACGTTCCCTTGGCCGCGTCCCTCGCTCGTCCGTATTGCTCCCGGAGTCGGCCTTTTATTGTCCCGCGTGGTTGACCTTCTTGCCCTTGTTCCATACATCATCTGGCAAAGGCCTCAAGGCCT